GTGTGTGCAATGGGATGAGCGTGGCACCTGTGTTGAGCGACCTGTTTTCAGCAAAGTGCGACAGAGATATGGAAAGCCGGTTGGATAAAGAAGTTATTCGTGTTTTTAGGTATGTAGACGATTACTTGGTGTTTTTTCGTTCGAAGAAGGGCTCTGAAAGAGAAGGCTTCATTTAAAAAATGTTAGGAGTGTTTAGGGACAGTGCGTCAGGGCTCAGTTTCACCAGTGAAAGTCCCGCGGATGATAGTTTACAGTTTTTAGATCTTAAGATTTTATTTCAGAATTCACATGTCTGTTGGTTTTATTGTCCTAGGGCTAAGAAGAGGGTGTTACCATTTGATTTTAATCACTCAAAAGTAATTAACAGGGGCATTGCCTCTACATGCATGAGGGCTGTCTTAACGAAGTCTTGTCCACATAAGATAGAAGAAAGCTTTAGGTTGCAGGTATTGAAGCTAGAGGAAGGAGGCTTTCCACCGCTTCTTGTAGGAGTGGCAGAGGGTCTGATAAAGAAACTTCGGTGAGGATGTGGTGTTTTAGGAGAGAAGCCAAGGTGTAGGCCAGTTGTAATACCTTATGTTCATAAGGTGAGCCACAATATAAAGGAAGTGAGGCAAAAACATGGGGTTCCCGTATTACTCTCAGCTCCTAAAAAACTGTCCAGATTGTGTGGAAAAGTGGGACGAGGGGAGACACGCGTTGGTGTCTGTCAGAAGAAACATAAGACCATGGTATGTGGAGTGTAGCGAAGGCGTGGTTTGCAAGATTCCTTTATCATGTGGCAAAGTATACATAGGCCAATCGGGACGTTGTATAAATGATAGGCTCAGGGAGCATGCACTGTCAGTTCGATCATCGCCCTCGGGAAATCTGGCTGTGCACTGTGACAGATGTGGGTGTGTCCCGAAGTTTGACAACACCATTATCTTGGCCCGAAACCGGAACGAAACGACAAGGGAGATATCCGAAGTTTTTTTCATATCTGAGTGCGTTGAAGGAACGTGTGTCAGCGCTCCATCTATAGCCCTGTTTGGCTCTGAGGTGGGGTTATTAAAATCTTTTATAAAGTAGATAGCGGACAAACGAACACTGATTGGGTGATGTTGCATTTCTGTAGTACATGTCGCGATTTCACGGCGTATATATATGTGTGTTTTCTGAGAATAAACTTCAGTTGCAAGTAGCGCTCTGTGTTCGTTTCTTTTACTCGTCCGTTGTTTTTAGCGATTTTACCCTCACAAACATGTACATAGCGCTCACATGTACACGGGGACTGCTGAAATTGGGGTCGCCGCCGCTCACCACGGCCCGACGGGCAGACTGGCCGCCCCAATAACAGAGACACCTCCGCTTGTGACGCTGAATGCAGCACTCTCGTGGCACCGCCTGGCCATTGCCGGCTGGCTATCATGCACTTGCGCCATCTTGCCCCGAACGACACATAAAAGCATGATATCGCACAATGGGAAAGATCTCACTCGAAGCTTCGATCGATCATTACACCGCCTTTGTTGCCCTTCCTGCGTGATGACTCATTTGCGAAAGGTACGGTGAGGTGCATGCGCGGAAAGATAAAATTGTTTGTGCGACTGGGTGCTGATGAGGATCATTCGAGTCCCTTCATTTTGTCACAGCCGTGCGAACGTTATAGTTGACGCAGTCATAAAATGCTATATGCTCACCGGCACCAACTTGGCAACAGGAGCCTAAATCCACACGAGCCCTTCTATGCCACAGTGAGAGTAGTGCTAACCGTTTGGAGCGCTTCCTTAACTCCGACATTACCGCGCCGCCTCGAGGCGCTATCAATCCGCTGGCGTCTCGCCGTCTGCCGTGAAGTGAAGCGAAGAGCGAACGCGGAGGAGAGACGAAAGCGAACATCCCCCCCCCTTTTCCCACATACCCCCCTACCCTCCACAGCTGGTTGAGACATCGCGGAGGGCGCTGGCAAGGAGAAGCCTGCAAGAACAAGCACCCCCTCCCCCCCACACACTCACGTCATCACGCAGACTAATGCAATCACCGGACTCATGACCACCCTACGACTCGCGTCTTCATTAAGGCTCATGCTCGTGAGCCTCGAAACTCACAATCACACTCAAGAGATCTCAAAACTCACGCTCATGAGTACTTCACTTACAGCTCAAGCTCACACTCACACTCATGAGTCCTCAGAACTCATGCTCGCATTCACGCTCATCAGTTATCAGAACTCGCGCTCAAACTCATGAGTTCTCAGGACTCAAACTCACACTTAAGAGTTTTCAAAACTCACGATCATACTCACAATCAAACTCACGCTCATGAGTTCGCAGGACTCACACTCACGATCAGACTCACGGTCATGAGTTCTCATGACACACACTCACACTCACACTCATGAGTTCACGTGACTCACGATCACACTCACACTCACAATTTTTCGAGACTCGCGGCCTCACTCACGATCTCCTCAAATCTGACGGTGAGCGTGAGTGATCGTGAGTGATCGCACTCATGAGTGAGAATGCCGAGGTATGTCCACGACCGCGTCAACCCCACTGTATTCCGATGCGTCGCCTTGTCACGTGCTCTGGCGGTGAGAGGAGGGGGTGTGTGTGGAAGGAAGGGGGGAGGGAGGTGTCGCCAAATAAACCATTCCTCCAAGGGAGGATTCGGCGCGGCCGTCGTTCTGTCTAAAAAAGGAAGTAAATTGCTGTGTGCATGTTCATACATCTTGAGCTTAGTCTACCTCAGCGGGCGACTTGTCTCTCAACTGTAGATGAGCAATTTAGCCAGTGCGGTACAACCGCAAGCCTTGGATCTTTGACGTGCACCACGCAGGCACTAGTGATACACAACCTCACGCCGGTACGATACTCATCTAAACCGAAACGGGCACGGGTGGGGATTGAGCCCGTGATCTCTGGGTTCTGCAACGCGAGCTTTCGCTCCACGTGCTCCAAGCTGGTGTGCGCTAACCCACTCAGCCATTGATCCCCCCCCCCACCCCTTGCTCTGTCTAATGCAAATGAGCAGAGCGTCCTGTGTTCATATGGTAAAGTATTTGGTACTAATGAATACGAATAAAATGCGAAGAGCGGAGCGCGTGGCCTACGATACAGGCTGCGCTACTTAGAGGCAACTAGGAACTGATAAAATGACGGGATAGAAAGGAGGCTGAGAGAGCGCGCGCCTACTCTGACGTGCATACACTCGTAGCCTCCCTCTCCACTTTGCTGTTTGATCAGTTCTTAGTTACGTCTAGGTGGTGCAGCATACATCGTAGGCAACGCGCTCCGCAGTTTGGATCGCAGTCGATAGTACGTGCATGCTGCACTTGTTTAGGGCTTGTCAGTGTTGGTTGTTTCTGTTTGATCTTCAGCGAGCTCGAGCATATCGAGGCAAATCTGCATTCTAATGTTGCAGCGCAGGTGAGAACGACCAAGCTCTGCACTTTAATTTAGTAAATCCATTAATTATACAAACTATTTAGATTGGCACACCACTGGCTAACAGTTTTAATTCACGCGATATGATACAAATACGGTAACATACCCATATTAATTAAAAATGGTGGTAATAAGCGATTTTCTTCGCAATTTTGTTTCCAGAAAATTTCGACATGTTCGTTTTCCAGGAAAATATGTTAATATTGTTACGGTGAAAACGATGATGATTTATTTATAGCTGGGTAATGGCGGTAGACAGAGGATTGAATTCCTTGCTGCGAGCCCGCTGGCGATCCTCTACCTCCTCTTCTCTAGGCATCTCATGAGCTCTGTAATATTACCCCCCCTCCAAGAAGCCACGACGTCTCGTCGTTGAGCTACGTGGTCGTTGGGAGGATATATGGCTTGAGCCGTAGCACGTGCACTGTGTCCCTTTCCCTGCGACGTCTGTCATTTTGTTGCTCGAGGGGTTCAATGACATATGTAACGTCGCTCAACTGGTGATGTATCCGGTAAGGTCCGCACCTCCACCAAAGAATGTTACGGTGAAAACGATGATGATTTATTTATAGCTGGGTAATGGCGGTAGACAGAGGATTGAATTCCTTGCTGCGAGCCCGCTGGCGATCCTCTACCTCCTCTTCTCTAGGCATCTCATGAGCTCTGTAATAATATCACTATTCAATATAACAATAGTAATTGTATACATTTTGAATAGATTTACAGAATAAACCGTTAGAAAGTGCATCGTAAAATGCAGAGTAAATAAAAGTAAACATTGTTCGAAATGCTTTAAAATCTACTTCGGTTATGCCAAACTGAGAAATATAAAAACACGAACCAGAACACTGCTGAGGTTTAAGAATTTATTTCAGTACTCGAATATTTCACGCAACAATTTTCTTTAAATTATAAAACAACACACTCCTTTGCAGCGTTGAAACTGCATTTCAAGAGCCCAATTGTTTCATATTTTGTTTTATATTTATATCATTCTGAGAATCTTCTGTCCTCCGGAGCCACCAGAGGAAGATGACTCGTAGGACGAGATATAGCTTCCATCCGATCCTCCTCCCCCGCCAGAACTCAGAAGCCCAGAACTGAAGCTACCACCATTCGAGCTCCCGCCACCGTAGCCACCTGTGGAGCCTCGAAATAAGCTTCTGCTTCCATAACTTCCCCCTGAGCCTCCACTTCCAGAGGCGCTGCTCCCATAGCCGCCGCTTCCATAGCCGCTGCTTCCAGAGCCGCTGCTTCCAGAGCCGCCGCTTCCAGAGCCGCCACCTCCGTAGCCTCCGGACCCATAGGAACCTCCGTAGCGTGATCCGCCCGATGAATATTGAGATGACCCATACCTTCCACGGCCACCAGATCCTCCGTATCCGTCTCTAAGAGAACCGCTTCCTCGGCCGCCTCTGGAGTACATAATCCAATATCCTCTTCGTGAGCCTCCTCCTCTGAGCCCTCCAAAACTTCTCGATCCGTAGGAGCCACTGCCGTATTCTCCGTAGCCTCTTCTACCATTGCTGCCGCCTCCGTTACTTCCAAAACGACGACTGAAGATTGTACTCAGCGAGCTCCCTCCGCCGAAACCTGATCCATATCTGTTTCTGCCGAACGAACTGCTTGACCCACCACCGCTACCTTGACCGAAGCCGCCGGAGCCGCCCCCGAAAAAGCCGCCGCTGTCTCCACCACCGCCAGAAAACAAATTGCTGCTGGAGCCTCCTCCCGTTTGCGAGCTTCCAGAGGTGGAGCCCGTTTGACTTGATTCTCCTCCGCTTCCACCGGATCCACCGCTTCGGAACAGGCTTGATAAGGAACTGCCAAAATCACTACCACCAAAGCCTCCTGACCGCATCGATGACGAACTTCCTGTACCCCCTCCTCCTCCTCCTCCTCCTCCTCCTCCTCCTCCTGATAATCCTCCAAATCCCGAAGAACCGCCTCCGAATCCGGATGAACCTCCTCTGAATCCGGAAGAACTGCCTCCGAATCCGGAAGAACCGCCTCCCATTCCGGATGAACCGCCCCCCATTCCGAAAGAACCGCCCTCGAATCCGGATGAACCGCCTCCCATTCCGTATGAACCGCCTCCGAATCCGGATGAACCGCCTCCCATTCCGGATCCGCCTCCGAATCCGGAAGAACCGCCTCCCATTCCGGATGAACCGCCTCCCATTCCAGATCCGCCTCCGAATCCGGAAGAACCGCCTCCCATTCCGGATGAACCGCCTCCCATTCCAGATCCGCCTCCAAATCCGGAAGAACCGCCTCCCATTCCGAAAGAACCGCCCTCGAATCCGGATGAACCGCCTCCCATTCCGTATGAACCGCCTCCGAATCCGGATGAACCGCCTCCCATTCCGGATCCGCCTCCGAATCCGGAAGAACCGCCTCCCATTCCAGATGAACCGCCTCCCATTCCGGATCCGCCTCCGAATCCGGAAGAACCGCCTCCCATTCCGGAAGAACCGCCTCCGAATCCGGAAGAACCACCTCCCATTCCGGATGAATCGCCTCCGAATCCGGATGAACCGCCTCCCATTCCGGATCCGCCTCCGAATCCGGAAGAACCGCCTCCCATTCCAGATGAACCGCCTCCCATTCCGGAAGAACCGCCTCCCATTCCGGAAGAACCGCCTCCCATTCCGGAAGAACCGCCTCCGGATCCGGATGAACCGCCTCCCATTCTGGATGAAGCGCCTCCGAATCCCAAAGAACTGCCTCCTGAGGAGCCGCCACTGCCACCATAGCTTTGGTATCCAGATCCTCCTCCGAGTCCGGTTCCTCCTCCCAGTTCACTTCCACCAGAGCCGAATCCTGCAAGTCCGTAGCCACCTCCAGCTCCAGAGCCTCTACCAAATCCGACGCCCCCAAGCCCTAATCCACAGCCTCTCGGGATAGGAAAGCCTAGGCCGTATGATATAGGGTATCGGAGCAACGTCCTTCCATAACGATATCCCAGGGGCAGTCCTGCGAGGCGTAGTGTTCTGAGCTCCTTGCACGAACTTCGCACACGATGTGCGGACAGGTTTTCTGTAAGCGATTTGTACAGAGAGAATTAATGAAGCTACGCTCAGAAGCAGCTAGCCTTGCTCCGTACTAACGGAAACAACCTCTAGGATGTTTCACATTCGAACGAAGTGTATAACAGCTTGTGCTATATTAAGTTTTGGGTAATTGTAGTAACCTTTCTGACTTTTCGTTGCTGTGATGAGTCGTACATTTTGTTAAAAGTTCAACCCGGTTCGAAACTCTAAAACCTTTGTTGTTATGCGATGTATTTAGACAGCAGTCCTTGACATGAAGGCCCTTCGTTCGATGGTCGCTCTATAACACTACGCCCGCAATCGGCATTTTAGTTTTGTACCCTGGTAATCGGCAGAATGTCATACTCGCACCAAGCTAAAAACAAAACGAAACAAAAACAAAAAACGGAGCGATCTGCGAAAGTGAAACGAATTGCATGTTGTTAGAACCCGTCTTACGAAAATACACGAATTTTTCTTAGTGCGCCTAGTTATCCAAATAACGAATACCAATCCGACAACTTTTTAATTATTCGTTTAGGGGCCGAGTTGTGAATTCGAAAGTTGTAGAGCGCATTGAGAAACGTTCATTTAAATTGTTTGTCACCATGATACGCTTTACCTTCTTTTTTTCTTTGGCTAGAAAAAGAAAGCTTGCAATATATATAAAAAAAGACCACGCGTCGAGGCGCCTGCGCGTCGCGCTTGTAGCGCCCTCAGACGTGCTCTGAAGGAGCGAAGTCCATTTTATCACTGTCGCGCCGTCCGAGACAGGGCTGACAGGGCATCGTATTGGGGGAGGCCCCAGAAAAAGGCGTGAGCAGTTACCGCCGCAAAGCCTTGTTTCGGACAGCGTGACAGTGATAAGGTGGACTTCGCTCCTTTAGAGCACACCTGAAAGCGTTGCAAAATCGACGCACGGACGCGTTGTCACGTGGTCTTTTAAAACTATTTCGCAAGCTTTTTTTTTCAGGCTAAAAATAAACAACAACAAAACAGGCAAAGCGTATTATGTAGAACACACTTTAAATGCGCGTTTCTCAATGCGCTCTAGAACTTTCTGATTCACACCTTGGCCCTTAGACGAATAATTGAAAAGTTAGCTAATCAATCTTTAATAATTATATCAATAGAAACATTAAGACAAATTTGTGCGCTTTCATAAGACGCGTGCTAACAACATACACATACAGTTGGTTTCATTTCCGCAGAGCACTCCGTTCTTTTTTAAAAGTTTGGTGAAAGTTGTCTAGGACACCCTGCATAGAAAAATAATTAAAATGGCAATTTGGGCCAGTTAATTCATGATCACCTAAACAAGCACCAAGAAATACAGACAGACGAAAGAAAGCGAACGATAAAGGTTGCTTTCTTTCGCTCATGTGTATTGTTACAACTTTTTTAGGCGATTACATAAAAAGCAAGCCCAGAGATAGCTACACCGAAATGAACGGCTTGCACTGACGTATCATCGCATACTTTTGACCACCATGTAAGAGGAGGAGTGGGTAGCTGCTTTTGTAAGAATTTCGAGTGACGGGTTAATCTTCTATAAGCTTCTATAATAGCGACCGACGTCTGTGCAAATCTCGGAGGCCCAAAAAAGGATTCTGATAAGAGGGAATCTCCTTCTTCCCCTCTTCTATGGTGGTCATGGGAGCGCTCTTTGAATAACGTCACGTGCAAGCCATGTATTGATTTGGTTGCTTTAAACGGTAGTGCCTGGTTTTTCTTTTTCCTCGAATATTCTTAGTTACGTGTAGGATATCGGTTTACGAGTATAGGCGAGCTGATATAGCAATAACGTACACTAAACTCGAAAATAAAAAAACGGAAAAAAAAATAACGAGCATAAAACAATAGCAGGAAGGGCTTGAAGTCCTGTTCCGGTCGTTCGGTGCTTGGCCTTGTCTTAGTCTTTAATTTGAAGTTTAATATTAAGCAATATATAGAGAAGACTAAGTTCACTTCGTTCTAACAAGAACGCAACTGCGATATAACGTTTATATTAAACTGCTGAAAAAAAAAGTTTAATTGTTACTACATTGCACCTTAAAGATTTATGAATTTCGAGTTTTCTATTCCATTTTGATATGAGGTTCATATCTATTTGAGGTTCAAGCTACTGTCTCAATTGGAAACCACTAATTCAAGTTAAGGGGGCGGGGGTCTTTTTTTTTTTGTCCAAGATATTTAGAATGAAGAGATAAAGAGAAATACGAATTCAATCATCAAATTCAAGTTAAGAAAATATGCTACGGCCCTGTCGCTAAATGAGGCGATAAAATTAGGCCCAAACTCTGTGTATCTCATTCTTACTTGGATGATCACACTCACCCTATACTATAAACACGAAGGTTACTGTGAAGGATGGGGAAAGGTATCTCCTTGAAGCCTCGGAGTTGCAGCCCACGTTTCGCTAAGGGACAAGCCTGTGGAAGCTACATGCCTTTGCGAGACGTCGACGAAAACTCGGAGGCTTCGACAAATTCTTTTTCTTTTTTTTTGACGTCATGCATACACTGTATGGTTTAAAAGCGAAGATCATATCTTAACTTAATAAGAGCGTCTGAGTAGCGTTAGAACTATATAGCTTTTGCAAATAGGTGCCAGTAATATTCCCTATCATGTCAATGATTTGATTTAAAAAGCGCAGTGGAAGTTAAACCCAACATCCAAACTGTCGTTTTCGGCTCTTCGAGACAAAAATTTGTGATATGTGTATTATGTGTATTCTAAACGAGAAAAGATACTTGTGCAATCCGGTTTATTTTTTACCATTAAATTTATGATTTACTTCTTCTCATTTACATTTGAAGATGTTGAACGCCACACCTTTTATATATGGCCGATTTTATGTTTGAAAATTAGACTTTACTTGTATATCCTTATTTTGAGCCTTGGAAACAAGACTGAAAGCGGCGTATTCATGCCGTCTACAAAACTTTCGGAACTTTATTTTTATCCTTGGCCTTAGAGATATTTTTTTGAATTTTTCTAGTAACAAATAGCGCTTTAACATTTCCGCCTATAGCTTTTGGGTATCCTAAATACGCACGTATTAGTTGTTGTCCTTCGGAGGCATCGCTCAGCTGGGACAGGGCAAGGGTACCTGAAGAATCATAAAATATAGGGAAATACGATTAGACATTAGGTGAAGCAAAACTTGTAATAGTTGGTCGATATAGAAGGCAAAAATGAACCCTGCACCCATTTCTTATTCTGCTCTATTATGTGTTGCGTGCTTTATGACACAACAATTGTCAGCTTTCTAATGCGCGAGAATAAATTGATTTCCTTTCAAGAGTGGTGATTACTATCTTCCTCGGAGATCGATGCTGCGCCTTATTTCTATAGGATGTCAGAAATTAATTTGTGGTTATTAACAGTCGAGGATTCAACATGTTTACGCAATCTCTCTCTCTCTCTCTCTATATATATATATATATATATAGGGTGTCCCAAGTCACAAGGCTCGATCTAAAATGGACCGTAAAAGTCGACGCCTGCACGTAGCAATTTAAACTTTTCGCCAAAGGTGTATTCCACCACGTCGGTTTTTTGTCGTAAAACTACAAAAGCGTAGCTCCCTTTCGGTAACAAATAGGAGCAAGAAATTTGCCGGGGTCAAAGGCGGGCGGCGACACAGACGACCAAGTCGAGTTGCGGGGCGTGTTTGGTGGTCGTATTGATAGATGGCGCTATTTCTTTATCGAGGCTGCTCGCGACCACCGTGGTTTATTAAAATGAACATAATCTTTTTATAACGTACTTTTGGTTCAAAAATAAATGCGGACAACAAAATCACAACCTTAAAGCACACACACACACACACACACACACAAACAAACGCGTTTGCATAAATTAATGTCAAGAGTTGGGCTAGTTGGTACTCGTTGATCATAATGTAAAAACAGCACAAACAAACACGGACGAAGGAGAAGAAACACGCAGACGGGACAAGCGCTGACTCGCAACTGAAAGTTTATCACTTAAGTAATAAAGTTTCAGTTGCAAGTCAGCGCTTGTTTTTACATTATGATCAGTGTTTGGCATAACGACGCTGGTTTTGCTGCCAACGGATTTCGTCTGCGTGTCGTCTGCTTTCTTTCGATGGTCGGCTACACCTTCGGTCCCAACGCCATATATCAATACGCGTGCCAAACACACCCCGCAGAGATACAGTAGTAAGGGTGCAGGCGAGCTGGTGGATGACTCGACTCGGTCTTCTACGTCGCCGTCCGCCTTTGACCCTGGCAAGTTATTTCGCCCTATTTTTTTACGGAAATAGGGCTACACTTTGTAAGTTTACAAGAAAAAACCGACCTGTGAAATAGACATTTAACGAAAAGTTTAGATTGCTACGTGCATGTGTCTATTTTTACGGTTCATTTCAGATCGAGCATAGTGACTTGGGACACCATATATACATACACACACACACTGCAATCCAGAAAGTTATTCTTATTGCTCACGCGTATACAGCCTAAATATATACAGGGTATTTATTTACAAGTGTAACAAAATGAAAAAAAAAAAAATAAATGTCGTGAAAGCTACACTTATGCGGTTTGTGCGGGTGAGTTACACGCCCAGGGGACATAGCACAGGGGGTTACTCGTAACGATCAGTCGGCTAATTAACAAAAAAAAAATGTAAATTAACTTTTAATTAGTGAAAATTGCCATATGGCTCCAATAAGAAACTTGCTGAGCGTCATCGAAAACCACTAAATCAAGTCTTTTCAGAAAGATATAAAGCAGGGGCAGCGTTTTATGGCGTTCCGTAAAA